CTTCATACTTTTAAAATATTTAGCTTTATTTTGAAAATCTTGCTCCATTCAAATGAATGGGAAAATTCTACTTCAGTATAATTTCAGCTGTCAAAATGTTCAGCTCTTCAGGGACATTCATGCATCTCTTCAGAAGTTTTCTAAACTTCATACATTTTAAATATTTTGCTTTATTTTGAAAATCTTGCCCCATTCAAATGAATGGGAAAATTCTACTTCAGCATAATTTCAGCTATCAAAATATTCAGCTTTTCAAGGACATTCATGCTTCTATTCAGAACTTTTGTAAACTTCATACATTCTACTTCAGCATACTTTCAGCTATCTCAGCTATCAAAATGTTCAGCTCTTCAAGGACATTCATGCTTCTATTCAGAAGTTTTCAAAACTTCATACTTTTTAAAATATTTAGCTTTATTTTGAAAATCTTGCCCCATTCAAATGAATGGGAAAATTCAACTTCAGCATAATTTCAGCTATCAAAATGTTCAGCTCTTCAAGGACATTCATGTTTCTCTTCAGAATTTTTCTAAACTTCATACTTTTAAAATATTTAGCTTTATTTTGAAAATCTTGCCCCATTCAAATGAATGGGAAAATTCTAATTCAGCATAATTTCAGCTATTAAAATGTTCAGCTCTTCAAGGACATTCATGCTTCTATTCAGAACTTTTGTAAACTTCATACATTTTAAATATTTAGCTGTATTTTGAAAATTTTGTCCAATTCAATTCAATGGGGAAATTTCTACTTCAGCATACTTTCAGATAGCAAAAGCATTAATGTGTCAAAATGTGCATCATTTTCAGGGCGATCTTTCAGCACTCAGCATCCATACGCATTTTCTTCAGAAAATACATTTTTCTAGTTTACATTACATTCTGCCAGGTAGTTTGTAAATAAAGTGAGTGTAGGCTATTTTGTTTTGTTCATTTGATTCTGAAACTAAAGTAATTAAATTAATGGAATGGAGGAATATGTACAATACTGGCCTGAGATGTAGTGAAACAAAAAGAATATAGTAGCAGAAAGTGCAAATAGGTGTACTCAAAATTGTACAGTTAGGCTACTTGAGTAAATGTACTTAGTTACTTTCCACCACTGGTTAAAGGGGACATTTAACTGCAGCGTAACCGGGTGTAACGCAGCGGGTCCGTTTGCAACGTGACTGGAGTAGCGTGACCTGTCTCCCGGTGAGGGCGGTACAAGACGCTCACATGGGCAACAGAAGCGGTAGTAGAAGACGCAGCAGGCGACAGCCCCTGGGCGTCGTCATACGAAGTAGAGCCCGTACGCGCTGCTAGTGACAGGCTGGTAGAGGTGACCGTACCTGTACAAGCGTAACGTTGTATAACACGTTTGCTTTGTTGACGCGACCCACCAGGCACCAAAACATGGGGCGGAAAGTGACTCTTGCAACCTGCTCGTTGAATCAGTGGGCTTTGGACTTTGAAGGCAACTCGGAGAGAATACTGAGGAGTAAGTGGGACTGTGTGTTTGAAGCAGCAGTAACGTTGGCCTGACGTTACTGCAGTAAAAACGTTACAGTTAAACTGCTACGTTGTCGGGAATAGTGATGACAGTGCAGAGATAAATATCCAATATTCACTGTTCAAAATGGAGCTGAAGTGTCGAATAACAGACGTAGTAAACGTGACATTTGAAAAGGGCGCACCCCAGCCTGCAGCTGACAGACACAGGCTGCAGACTCAAGTGCACGATAACATATTTGTCCATACAGGCATTTTTTCAAGTAGCCTACTCTTTTACTATTTTTAGTTGCTTAACTTGAGTATTTGCATTTTGTGCTGACACTCGATAGTGCTGGAATTATCGGCTGCAAGTTGCAAAGTATCTTTCTTCTCTGGAAACGTAGCACGCGTTGGTATAGGAAGTAAACAAAGGTCAGATGAGGCGGAACCAGTACAGAGTCTTTAACCTGGTAGTTTGTGTCATGTTCCTGTCAGAAACATAGCCCCATTTTGTTTTCCTGATTACAGTGTAAGATAGGCATCATTAGATTCCATCGCCCCCTGTGGATCACTTTCTGTTTTATTTATTTACAGTATGTACATTACATGATCCCTTTCATGCATAATGTTCACATGTGTGGCCAGTTAACTCCATTCTGGGTTAGTTGGATCGATTGTAGGCCTACTCCAGAATTATATGCTTGCTGAGACCCCCAGTTTAAACTGGCTCACAGTGCACAATGTGCTTCAGCCATATCTATCAACTCAGGTAAAAAAGACATATTAGTAAACTGTGATGAACATGTTCCCGTTTTATTCAAAAACCAACTGTCCATGTATGTTCAGTACGTGGACGTCATGCAGCAGCGGACTCAGATTACATTACAAGTCTTGTTTGTGTAACCTGCTATTGTATCTGTTTTATTGATTCCAAGATGATTTCAAGTAGCTGGGATCATAATTAAACAGACAAACATTAACAGTAATGATCACACAGAAGAACTCATTCCTGTTTTAAATTTTAAATTTACATGCTTGTTTTCCAAACAGGGACAGTGTAGACAACAACACTGACATGAACTGAGAAAGAGCTAAAACTATATTTTTTAACTCAGTAGTGGGTCTGTGCTCATGTCTACTACACTATTGATATTTAATCACATTTGTTAGTGTCACTGAGTTGTTCCTCTCGTATTTCTAAAATATGTGTTTTGTTTTTTTGCAGTAATTCAATTTATTTATAGAACATAACATGGCCTAAGCAACACAAAATTCTATATTGTTAGCTGTGGCTCTATACCCCTGTTACTCCTTTGTTGTATGGTGTTCACTATGGAGGAATATTCTACCCAAAACTGAAAAGAAAATGAACATGATAAATGAAAATGCCACATTTTCAATTTTCCAAATGCGTGGACCATTGAATAACCTTTAAATAAAGCATCATTTTGTAAAAAGCTAAAGTGGATTTCAGTTTTAGTACAATTTTGAATAGTAAAACCAATCCTTAATGGTTTAGTTACAGATATAAAATGAAAAAATAATTCCATAAATATACACAGCTTCAAGCCAGTATTTACTTTACATTACAGTATTAACATTTGGCAGCAGTCACAGCCTGGTGTTTGTGGAGAGGACTTCCCATTCTTCTCTGCAAAACACCTCCGCCTCTGTCGGGGTGCACGGGCGATCATGACTATACATCTTCAAGTCTTGCCACAAATCCAGCTTTGCTGTGCGATCTGGACTCTGGATTGGCCCCTTCTGAATATACTTCTAATTGCTGTTTTGCCTGATCTGAGCTCAGTATCTTGCTGGACAACAAATCGTCTTCCATGTTGCGCGTGTCTTGCAAGTTTGCCTTCAGAATTTTACTGTATTGCATTCATTTCCTGTAGCAGAGTACGTTGTGCTGCCACCACAGTGCCCCTGCTAAGGACAGTGTGTTCATGATGATGTGAAGTATAACAGAGAGTATTTATTCTGTAGCCCAAAAGTTTCAGTTTTGGTCTCATCAGACCATATAAGCTTCTTCTACAAAACCCTTCTATACAAGGGATTAAAAGTCAAGACAATGCTGCCTTTGCTGCTTTGATTTTTACCTTTTTCATCAGTCTGTACAGGCTTTCTAACTCTGCTCTACTGAATTGCTCTAGAAACCTCTTTAAATAAATGAGCAGAACTCTGCTTCCCTCACTGCTAAGTACACACATAAAAGCAACGGTAAGTTTGCCTGAAAACAGACCTGTCTGTGTGTTTCTCTGCAGGCATTGAGATTGCTAGGACTCATGGCGCCAAGTACAGACTGGGTCCAGAACTGGAGATATGGTATGATGGGGAAAACATTCATTACTGTAGTTTTCAGGATGCTTGTTCAGGTTTCTTACTGGCATGAGTTTATTTCCATATTAAAATATTACTGCTGTTAACTTTCACGTTTGGGCCACAGCACCATAACAACACGCAAAGCATGTTTGGTAGTACTGGATGTTAAACCGTGTTTTTTATCTGTCAGTGCCGACGCACTGGTGGTAGAATTGGTGTTAAGGTAGAGCAGGCTACGTTAGCAGCATGGCTAACCAAAACACAGTGCAAACTCACAGGCTGGAAATGTGAATGAAGCCACTCACATCGATTCTTCACAACAGGGCTGTATCGTACATGCCTACAACGTTCCCCCCTGCCTCACCCCATGACCAACGCAGTCCTGTGCATTAAAACACAGCAGGCAGTTTCGTTTTTGCTGTGCTAATGGTCACACTCCATCATACAGGCCTGGTTCTGTTACAGTGCCTTGCGAAAGTATTCGGCCCCCTTGAACTTTGCGACCTTTTGCCACATTTCAGGCTTCAAACATAAAGATATAAAACTGTAATTTTTTGTGAAGAATCAACAACAAGTGGGACACAATCATGAAGTGGAACGAAATTTATTGGATATGTCAAACTTTTTTAACAAATAAAAAACTGAAAAATTGGGCGTGCAAAATTATTCAGCCCCCTTAAGTTAATACTTTGTAGCGCCACCTTTTGCTGCGATTACAGCTGTAAGTCACTTGGGGTATGTCTCTATCAGTTTTGCACATCGAGAGACGGAAATTTTTGCCCATTCCTCCTTGCAAAACAGCTCGAGCTCAGTGAGGTTGGATAGAGAGCGTTTGTGAACAGCAGTTTTCAGTTCTTTCCACAGATTCTCGATTGGATTCAGGTCTGGACTTTGACTTGGCCATTCTAACACCTGGATATGTTTATTTGTGAACCATTCCATTGTAGATTTTGCTTTATGTCTTGGATCATTGTCTTGTTGGAAGACAAATCTCCGTCCCAGTCTCAGGTCTTTTGCAGACTCCATCAGGTTTCCTTCCAAAATGGTCCTGTATTTGGCTCCATCCATCTTCCCATCAATTTTAACCATCTTCCCTGTCCCTGCTGAAGAAAAGCAGGCCCAAACCATGATGCTGCCACCACCATGTTTGACAGTGGGGATGGTGTGTTCAAGGTGATGAGCTGTGTTGCTTTTACGCCAAACATAACATTTTGCATTGTTGCCAAAAAGTTCGATTTTGGTTTCATCTGACCAGAGCACCTTCTTCCACATGTTTGGTGTGTCTCCCAGGTGGCTTGTGGCAAACTTTAAACGACACTTTTTATGGATATCTTTAAGAAATGGCTTTCTTCTTGCCACTCTTCCATAAAGGCCAGATTTGTGCAGTATACGACTGATTGTTGTCCTATGGACAGAGTCTCCCACCTCAGCTGTAGATCTCTGCAGTTCATCCAGAGTGATCATGGGCCTCTTGGCTGCATCTCTGATCAGTCTTCTCCTTGTATGAGCTGAAAGTTTAGAGGGACGGCCAGGTCTTGGTAGATTTGCAGTGGTCTGATACTCCTTCCATTTCAATATTATCGCTTGCACAGTGCTCCTTGGGATGTTTAAAGCTTGGGAAATCTTTTTGTATCCAAATCCGGCTTTAAACTTCTCCACAACAGTATCTCGGACCTGCCTGGTGTGTTCCTTGTTCTTCATGATGCTCTCTGCGCTTTAAACGGACCTCTGAGACTATCACAGTGCAGGTGCATTTATACGGAGACTTGATTACACACAGGTGGATTCTATTTATCATCATTAGTCATTTAGGTCAACATTGGATCATTCAGAGATCCTCACTGAACTTCTGGAGAGAGTTTGCTGCACTGAAAGTAAAGGGGCTGAATAATTTTGCACGCCCAATTATTCAGTTTTTTATTTGTTAAAAAAGTTTGAAATATCCAATAAATTTTGTTCCACTTCATGATTGTGTCCCACTTGTTGATTCTTCACAAAAAATTACAGTTTTATATCTTTATGTTTGAAGCCTGAAATGTGGCAAAAGGTCGCAAAGTTCAAGGGGGCCGAATACTTTCACAAGGCACTGTATGTACTGATATCGTGAGACAGCTTTTGCCTTGACGAGAAATATCATCTCATTTTAATGTCCTGAGATCTCATCACACCACCACCAGTAAGGAAAACAAAAGAGTCTTCTTCCCATGGGTATCCTCCTTCTAATTGTCCCCTGTACATGATTGGTCAACACAGCGTCTTTGCTGGATAATGTCAGCTTCCAGTGTGTTGACAGTTGAGCCAGATCTAACTTTTTCACCACACAGGGCTGCTTCCTTTTGCCAGAGTGTGTTGTGCTGGTGCCGGCAGCGGTGAACACAATCCCCTGTAGAAGTCAGTGGGGTGGGCTGCATGTTTTCACACCTGTGAGACTCGGTCTGAACACGGCCGTGGTCCAAAATGTCTTCTGCTGGACTGCCAGCATTGTTGGAACAGTAACTCAGAGGTTTTCTTAGACGCTAACAGTCTCTTTTCTAATTCACTGCATTTTCACAGCGGGTATGGGTGTGCAGACCACTTCTATGAGTCGGACACGTTGCTACATAGCTTTCAGGTTCTGAGGAAGCTTCTGGAATCTCCCGTCACCCAGGACATCATCTGTGATGTGGGAATGTGGGTATCGCCTTTGAGCAGTCAGACCAGTCCACTGTCCTCTCCATGGATAGTGATCATCTGTGAGGAGGACGAGAGGGCTGCTCATCAGTGACTGGTTGTTTCCTTTAGAGACAGATGTTTTCACCTAATAAATTCACATTGTACAGCTGTACACTAGGTCTCACTTGATGTCAGACTTGAAATGTTGTGAATTCTGTTCCCCTCAGGCCCATCATGCACCATAATGTGCGCTACAACTGCCGGGTCTTGTTTCTCAACAGGTTCGTGCACCAGTCCCGTCTCCTAAATGATGAGTTTATATAACTGTACTGGACAAAATCTTTGTCATGTTCAGCTGGAGCTGACAGCACTAGCAGTGGGAAATGAACCACTCTGCATGTTTCTTCCATACTGTAGGAAGATCCTGCTGATCAGACCTAAGATGCTGATGGCTAACCATGGGAACTACAGGGAAGTGCGCTGGTTCTCTCCTTGGAACCAGTTAAGGTCGGTCATCACTCTTCTTATCAGTCTATCTTTATGAGGACACTAATTGACATATTAATTACTGTATAATACAATAATTTTTATATTTATCAAGGTTAAGATTCAAGCTTACTTTTATCATATATACTAGGAGAAAACTGTGTCAAACTCCAAAACCACTGGATCCAATTTCACATAATGGAATGTAACAGCATCTGTTTATTACACTTTATTTGTCTACAGCCCCAAATCAGAAAAAGTTGGAACGGAATGTAAAATCAAAGTTAAAACTAAAAACAGTGATGTGTGAATCATCTGTGTCCTGTATTACACTGAAAACAACACAGCAGCACATTATTTGATGCGATGCATCACCTGGTTCGAATGGAATCATCATTTCATTGTTTTACCTCATTACTGGCCCTGAAATGCAGCCGTCCCAACTTTGTTTGTAATGTGTTGCAGCATCAGAATTGAAGTGAGTGTTTATTTTGAACAAAGAATAAAACTGATGAGGTATCACATCAAATAATGTGCTGCTGTGTTGTTTTCAGTGTAATACAGAGGTATTATTTGCAGTTTTAATTTCAATTTTACATACCGTCCCAACTTTTTGTGATTTGGGGTTGTACTAAATGCCCATGTCAAGGCTGAAATATGCTTCTGTATCTGCAGAAGGTTGTGTGGAACTCCTCGTGATAAGTAAACTGAAGAACTTTGAGATTTTGGGAGAAACATACACTCACTTGTCATACCTACAGTCACATGAAAATATCTATAGCAACCTCACCTCATGTTGTTGTGTCCAGTTTGGAGAAACAGGGTTTAGCTGAGCCTGGAATAGTGGAAGCTGTGCTGAAAAATTTGCCTTGTTTTAGTTACATGACATAGCTTGTTAGCTAGCAGGCTAGTCAAATGGATTCAGCAGTCGGCTGGTTTTATTTAGATCTCGGTGATCGGACCTGGCAACCTCACTATTGGGACGGGACTAATTACCGCTAAAACTACAGTAATGGTAAATGGACTGTACTTATATAGCGTGTTGCACTGGCCAAAGTGCACATTCACACCCTGATGACGACAAGACTGCCACACAACAGTGCTAGTCAAGCCACCGGGAGCAATTCAGGGTTCAGTGTCTTGCTCAGGGACACTTAGGCATGCGGGGAGACCGGGAGTTGAACCACCAACTTGCTGGTCAGAAGACGACTTGCCCTACCTCGTGAGCCACAGCCACCCCCTCACTCCTGTCTCATTTTCTGTAGTAGTACATTTACTCGAGACAAAATGTGTATTTTTTTAAGTTTAGAAGCTGGGTTTTTTGACCTGTTGTAGCCTTTGAGCTAAGGTACTTTTTAAGATGGAGTTTAGTTTACTACTAGTGTGGTTTATTTCACGTTTACAAATGATATGGACAGTAGTGTCTTTCTGTTTGCTTTGTTAAGGAAAGTGGAGGAGTATTTCCTGCCCAGAATGATCCAGGAAGTAACAGGCCAGGTAAAAAAGAAACATTATCATTAGCTCACTGTGTGTAGCCAAGGCTTTGGATCAGACAAAAGGTTTTTTATTCCCCTTTTTGTCTTCATCAGGATACAGTCCCATTTGGTGACTGTGTGCTGTCCACAAAGGACACTTGCATTGGGACTGAGATTTGTGCAGAACTCTGGAACCCCAGAAGGTAAAGCAACAGAGGATTATGTCAGGATTGTATGACTGTTGTATCTGTCTGTGTAATATCAGAAAGAGTCCTAATGACTGAAACTCACTTATCCTCAGCCCACACATTCAGATGGGGCTGGATGGAGTTGAAATCTTTACCAATTCATCTGCCAGCCACCATGAGCTCCGCAAAGCTGAACAAAGAGTCACCCTGATCAAATCAGCCACCACCAAGGTATCCTCACACCTTACCAGGACACTTAATGTAGGTTTTTGTCACCCATCTGTACATACACAGAGAATGCAAAGCAGAGATCACCAGAGGGCAGTGTTTGACCACAAATGTAGGACATAAGCATAACATTCTGTGCTTTTAGAATATTTTCTTTACTGAGTATGTAGATGTTTGACTGAAGTCAGTGCTGCATTCAGTGCACTGCTGGTGTTGTTTCAGAGTGGCGGTATATACCTGTATGCCAACCAGCGGGGCTGTGATGGAGACCGTGTCTACTACGATGGTTGTGCCATGGTGGCCATCAATGGAGAAGTTGTGGCACAGGGAGCACAGTTCTCTCTGAATGATGTGGTATGTGTGGACATGGAGGTTACCAGAGCTGGTGCCACATGTATCTGCTAATTAGTCTCTGTATACACTAGTAAAATCATAATGGATTGATGTGAAGTGTCGCATACAGTACATCATGCATTAAACAAGTGCTTTTGTTTGCAACCTCACTTTTCTTAAATGTCCCCTTAAGGGATGAACCAATTGATTTGGACTGAAGTTCTGTAGGTGTGAGCAAAAGTAATGAGCATTGTGTTAACTGGAGGTAGATCAGAGCTTCCTGTGCAGCATTCCTCAGCCGACAGGCAAATGTCATGTGAAAATGGCATCGGCACTGGAGAGCCAGGCTGATCGGTGTGTTTGCGTGTTGTAGGAGGTGATTACAGCCACAGTTGACCTCGAGGATGTGCGTAGCTACAGAGGAGAGCTATGCCAGCCACACATGGTGAGACAGCACTACCCTCTAACTTATTATTGCTCTCCATCATCTCTCAGGCTCACTAATGTCCAGCGTTGTTTCATATCATGTTCACTGGCTTATGACCTGATACCTCAAAATGAGAGACTGCTTAAAGCCAGAACTTGTACTCCTTCTCAGAGTCATACCACACACATATTTGTGCTGTTCAGTGTGATTCAAAGATATTATTATTGTTCACTATTACTGAATATTTTAATGGTGCCAGTTTTATGTTAATGTAAACAAAATAGGCTAAAAAACATGGATGAAAAGAGAATAGCAGTACCTACCTGTAGGAAAAGGTACAACAGCAACAGCACATTTGATGAGCTTTTACATCTTCTTGCTCTATCTTGGTCTCTCGTGTTGGTTCCCAGTTAGGTTTACTGTATATGTTGGTGATGAAAAGAGTGATCGCCTAGGGATCGTACTTGAATCATGAGATGCTTCTCTCTTTACAGACCTGTGAGCAAGTCTCCACGTCTTGAGACACAAATCTCAAGTTCTCAATCAAGATTTGGAATGCTAAGTTAGGTTCATGTCAGATCTCTACACCTCATGCTGGAGGAGGAAATGTAGAGAACTACACCAGGACAAATGACCCAGTACCACTGAAATGTGTACAGTACTTCAAGTATTTCAGTAGAATGGAAGAGAAACTCAGTAATTCAAATTTACAGAACAAGCACATCTAAGCCTGTGGCACTGGAACACAGTCTGAAGATGATCCATGTCACATATTAAAGCTGCACTAATTGTCCTCTTTCAGCCCATTGTTTTGGTTTTAAAGCTCCCAGCTTTAGTGTTTTGTTTCAGTCACATATAGCTCAGTTACAAGGGACATCCTGCTCTTTCATGAGAGCAGAAAACGCCTTTTTTCATTTCCTGACCATTCTACAGTATGAGAGTTTTGCCTGTGTTACACTTCTCCTCTTACTGTCCTACATCTCTGTTGTAGGAAAGTGAACCCAAACCATGTCACAGGGTGAAAGTTGACTTCTCTCTATCCACTGGTGATGATATCTATCTCCCTACCCACCAGCCAGTAGCATGGCACCTTCATACACCAGAGGAAGAGATCAGGTAGAAAAGATGTTTCATTTGCTATAAACTATGTATTTTACTTGACAGAAAATCTGTACCATATTTTAGCTTTGGAACATAAAGCCCCTTGATGGACAGCAGCTGACACGTGTTGTTCAGTCTAGGGCCGGCCTGCTGGCTGTGGGACTACCTGAGGAGAAGTGGACAGGTGAGGAGGGATACACCCCCACTGACAAACAATGTTGCAGTATTGTATCAAGTTATGTGTATGGCTCATTTAGATTAGGGTGATGTTCAGATTTAGTGTCATGTCATACAATACATATGGAGGATGAAGTTCCATTCCTCATGGACCACCAGTCCAGTCCAGTGCCAGTGTAACCTGGAACAGACGTTTAGGATGAGTGCAGAACCAAAATAATTGCAGGCTAAAGTTAAAAGAACTGTAAATTAGAAATGATTTATTAGAAGTTAGGTACAACCAGAACACTCTCTAAGAATAGACGCACATCAGCAGCAACAACTTGGATATAAATGAGGTCTAGTGTATTTTTTTTAGCAAACTTGACAGGTTGGTGGATGTCTTCATTGAAGCCACCAGCAGCCATGACAAATGTAGACTCCTACAATACAACTGTTGTATTGTACACCATTCCTCCACAGTCCACCGTCATGAGTCATACTGAACAATGATGATTTTGTGTCAAGTTAACCCATTCAGTCTGTTTAACAGCCCTGAATGTCGCTGTGTAGCCGTGTTTCAGTGAAAACTTCATTTAACACTGGGTAGTTACTCTCATAGAGATGCCGTGCAGGAGATCCTGGCTGCTGTAGCTCACTTTTTCCCACATAAAAGGTGCTCTTCGTTTCCAATCTAAAAAAGAAAGAAAGGAAACCAAGAGACATGATTACACTCTGATTTGGTGAACTCACTGTGATGCTTGTGATTTGTGTTCCAGGCTGGTTTTCTGCTGCCTCTGAGTGGAGGTGTTGATAGCTCGTCCACCGCCTGTATCGTCTACTCTATGTGTGTGCTGCTCTGTCAGGCTGTAAAGGATGGCAGTGAGTAGGATTCAGTTTGCTTTCATTGCAAACACACAGATTACTTTGATGTGACATGTTCTTGCAAAAGAGAAGGCTGCTGCTATTCTATATTTTCCATATTCCCAATCAACCCCATGTGCTGAAACAAGCCAACAATGAATTTCTACTACTTAAAAGCATCTTGTGTGTATCCAAAGCCTGATGTATCTCATTCTGTGCCATAGAGCTCCACTGTAAAATCACCTCAGTGATCACACTGTTGTACTAAGTGACATGTTCCTTCATCACCATAAACACACACTGTAGTTTATACTGACTCAGTCCCACATACACCGTCCCAGTGCACCAAATGGTACTGCTGTTTCAGTAAAGGTGGGATTAAAAACTACAGTGGCCAGCTGTTTTAGGTAATACTGAGCCTTTTTTAAATAAATGACCTATATATTTGTGAGGTGTTCTTAAGGCATAACATCTTCCACTGGTTTTGAAGCTGAGAACCACAGACAGAGGAAAAGTCAGAAGATACTGAGGGATGGAAACTGTTAACATGATAAACAGCAGGAACAGTGGGATGAGTTGAGTTACAACAACTTCAGCTTCCTGCCTGGCTTTAGCTCAGTGAGATAAGGCAGTGTCTATTGGTGCATCTCAGATCTGCTTCCAGAAGTTCCCCTTGGGGATTAATAGGTCCTCTAGCAATCTGAGAGCCCGGCTTTGGACCTTTGGTTTTATGCTATCGTCCTCCCTCTCATTTGTTTCTTGTCTTTCTTCACTCTAATAGACCAGATGTTTTCAAAAGTCTGCTTTTCTTGCCTCCTCCCTGTCTTCTCTTTGTCTTCTTCCCTGTCCATCTCTCAGACAGTCAGGTACTGCAGGATGTTCGCAGGGTGGTTGGGGATGACTCCTACCATCCTCAGCACCCAAGGGAGCTGTGCAGTCACATCTTTACCACCTGCTACATGGCCAGTGAAAACTCCTCTGAGAACACATGCGGCAGGGCCAGAGACCTGGCCAATCAGATCGGCAGGTAGGTTGGATTCAAATTGAAGGGCTTTTGTTTAAGGTGATTGTGCATTGCTACGTGTTGCGTAAGTAGTAACAAATGGTGAAGTGTGAGAGAAATACATGTTAAAAGAGAAGGCCATTAATTGTTTTCATCCTTTGTTGTTTATCTCTTGCTTTGCAGCACACACATGAATGTTAACATAGACATGGCAGTGAAAGGCATTCTGGGTATCTTCTCAGTGGTTACTGGAAAGTGGCCTCAGTTTCGTGCAAATGGAGGAAGCCACAGAGAAAACCTGGCTCTGCAGAACATCCAGGTCAGACACTGTCATCGTAATGACAGTTTCCTCACCGCTCAGCTCGGCCTTTGCACTTACACAACTGTGACTGTGTTGTAGGTTTTTATCAGTGCCCTGGATGTCTGTGTATGTGTTTCCAGGCTCGGGTCAGAATGGTCTTGGCCTATCTCTTTGCCCAGCTCAGTCTGTGGGCGTGGGGGAAACCAGGCGGACTGCTGGTGCTGGGCTCAGCCAATGTAGATGAGAGGTATTAATGGAGCTTTTACCTGACCACAGACATGTCTAGCTTATTTCATATTGCAGTTGCTTCATATGTATGTATGTATGTATGTATGCCAAGTCACAAGTATTCTATTCACAATCAACTTTTATTTCCTGTCTTACAAGTGTTCAATGTGGCCACCACCTGCAGCACGGGCAACATCAATGCGATAAGAGAATTCCTCCCAGGTGCATATTAGCATATCACGATCCACTGAGTTGATCGCTGTTGTTATTCGATGTTTAAGGTCATTAAGTTCACATACTATTTAAGCCATTTAAAAACTTAGATAACTCCTCTTTCAAATGGTCACTGACTCATTCCATGACAATGATTGAGAACTGAAGCAATGCGTAATGAAATCGGTTCATTCTTTTTGAATAACCCTGTATTTTTTTTTTTCCTAATTTGCCCTATTCTGACTTAGTCATTTTTCTGTAAAACACTTTGAATTGCATGAAAGGCGCTGTATAAATGAAGCTTGGTTGATTGATTATGGACATGTTCAAGTCTCTGTAGTAAGATGCTATGATCAGTGGTGTCAAAAGCAGCACTGAGATCTAAGAGGACAAGTATAGAGACATTTTTTTTGTCTGAGGCTAGGAGAAGATTATTGGTGACTTTCACCAGTGCAGTTTCAAGGATTTTAGAAAGGGGAAATTAGATATCGGCCTATAATTAGCTACACATGTTGCATCATGATGCTATACAGAGTAATTTTCATATCTCTTTGAGGTGATTTTGATAGTGTCCTAAAACAAGCTGATATCAGTGGGCCTATGGAAGTGTGGAATAATGATTTGAAAAGTTAGTGTTATTTATCTGTATCCTTCTGTAATGTGAGTTGTAAGTACATAAGATTTACTGTGCTGAGCTGAGCAATGCATATTTACAGGTGTGGTCCTTTAATATTTGGTGTAAGGCAGTTATTCATCGAAAACACTAACTGTTCTGTTCTGTTAACAAACCAGCAATCACAAAACATTGATAGTGCTGCTAAAGCATTACAACTAATGATTAATAAATATTTTTCTCTAGACATACCATTTTTTGTGGCGAATATATATAGCCTAACTTTTCCCCTGTTAAACTAGTTGTTCTGCTCAGTCTGACAGGGTATTTCACCAAGTATGACTGCTCCAGCGCTGACATCAACCCAATAGGAGGCATCAGCAAGACAGACCTGAAGAGCTTCCTGCATTACTGTGTTCAGCAGTTCCAGCTCACTGCCCTGAGAGGGTGAGGTCACAGTTGGGAAACATACCTGTTGTTACTGAGAACACAAACACTAAAGATGTGTAAAGATTCAAAGAATGTAGATGAAATCAGTCTTGGTATTTTATCCTCTTCACTGAACAAAGTAAACATTCAGAAGTATATTACAGTAGCACTGCCATTTATGGCAAAAACACCAGTTTTCAGTAGTCACAGTTTTGTAAAAGCTCTGTCATATACTTTGTATGTTATGCACAAATGAGTAGTATATGGTTTCCAGTTTGTCAGTGTGGTTTTGGTTTCCTCTGCAGCATCCTGGACGCTCCCCCAACAGCTGAACTGGAGCCTCTCATCGACGGACAGGTGTCACAGACGGATGAGGTAGGACATGAAAATATGTCTGCACACACTTTAACAGAAGTGCAATTACAAAAAGCCCTTGAAGAAGAGACTGTGGGTCCGTCAAAATTGGCTTTTTTACTTTTTTGTGCTTGCATTTGGTAATAGTAAGCATTCAGAAGAAAGTAACAATCTGACAGTTTTCCTTATAATACTGTAATACAACACTGGGGTCAGATTGCTATCCTGCAGTGCTGCTCCTTTACTTCCATGTCTTCTTCATGGATTGTCAGTGGGAGAGGATACTGAACTTTTGTCTGAGACATGATTTACTTCCTGTTTTAAAATGAGCCACAAATAGTTTACCAGCCACTCCTCCTACTCCTACCTCGAGCTGATAAAGTGATCAGTGCTATCAACAGTTAACAGTTCGGCTGACGTCGTTAGAAGTCTCCTTTTGTCCAACTCAGTGTGAAATCAAGTTGCTCATGTTTTCAGCTGGTAAATCTGCCAGTGTTGTCACAGTAAACTGCTCATAAGCCACACTGAGGCTGTTAGTGCTACAGCAACAAGTCTGGACAGGTTTAAAATGTGACTAGCTCATGTGACATTAAAACCATACCTCCCCTAGGGATACAGTACATATCCCATCCAAGTGGAGCTAACTTGCAGGCTAACAGTGGTTCATACAAGTGATTAAAAGACTGGAACTAGAAGCTCAGCACATGGGATAGTTGGACAGCATTTACTTTATTTCCTGTCCTCATTTTCCTAATTATTTTTTTCCCTTCTTTCTCCAACCATGACTTCTCCTTCCTCAGGTGGATATGGGGATGACCTACTCTGAGTTATCTGTGATTGGCCGACTGAGGAAGATCTCCAAGTGTGGCCCCTTCAGTATGTTCTGTAAACTCATCCACATGTGGAAGGACACTCTCTCAGCCTCAGAGGTCAGTCACATCCTTCACAGTGCAGCACAGTTTTCTGCTTGTCCTCTACTTTGGGACAGTGTAATTCTCCACTAGTGGAATTTCACATATCAATTCTTATGTTGAGTGATGATCATTTTTGCAACAAACTCGGTCACCCAAAAGAGCAGAGAAATCAAAGTTTCAGAAAGTCTGTAATCAGCTTAAATGTTTAGTTTGCCTCGGTGCAACATGAGTTCACCTGTAAAGAATAAAGAATTTTCCTGGAGGTAGAAATGGTGTTCTTAAAAGTACAGAATATTTCACCATTTATCCATCCATTTTCCTCCACTTATCCGAAACACCTCCCTAGGAAGGCGCCCAGGAGGCATCCGAAACAGATGCTCGAGCCACCTCAGCTGGCTCCTCTCGATGTGGAGGAGCAGCGGTTCTACTCTGAGCTCCTCCCGGGTGACTGTGCTCCTCACCCTATCTCTAAGGATGCGCCCGGCCACCCTGCGGAGGAAGCTCATTTCGGCCACCTGTATCTGGGATCTTGCGTCATTAATGAAGATTGCGTATTTAGCAGTGGCTGTCATAATGTAGTAATAAATAAGAGAAGAATAAAATCTAAAAATGCTCAGTCATAACAGTTAGCTTTGTCTTTTTTCAGGTGGCCCAGAAGGTGAAGCACTTCTTCCGAATGTACTCAGTGAACCGGCACAAGATGACCACAGTGACACCGTCCTACCATGCTGAGAGCTACAGTCCTGATGACAACCGCTTTGACCTCCGACCTTTCCTCTATAACACACGCTGGACCTGGCAGTTCAGGTGCATCGACAGCCAGGTAGTAGCCCATCCTTAAGGCAGGATCTTTGCTTCACTTCACATGTTTGAGTGTTGAGCTGGACTGAAAGACAGTCAAATCTGACAGAGGAAAGCATAACAGCGTAGGGATAACGGAATGAACCGTGAATAATGATGCTCAACATGATCAACTCCAGTGTATTTGGTAGAGCCGAACAGAGTCAATCCTGAATTGTATTGTTAAAATAAACATTATTGCTAAATAGACATTTAAAGAAGTTTCCATGTTTCATTCTCTTCCCTACAGGTGGCCCAAATGGCAGCAAATGCTCCAAAGCAATAAGAACCTGAGTGTCCAGAGAAAATCCATCAGAACCGGGACAGGTCAAAAGATCAAATAAAAGAACTGAAATGAATGAAGAATAAAATATAGTAAACTGTAGTGAGGCCACTTTATCAGTGAGGTTGACAAAAGTAAACTAGCAGCCCCTGTCACATTTGTTACAGCTAGACATGTACGCTGCATGTCATGTAAAGTTTTTCTCCGTGACAGATGCAGGACTGCAGTCAAAAAACATATTTAATCACCATGTAAGAACTAGTGACTGTTGCACTTGTCCTAACCTCTCATTGTTCACCTAACCAGACTACAGCCACTGCTGTGGATTTCAGAGTCGATGTCTTATTTATCCTGTGTGACATATAGTGAATAAATCAGAAATTCAAAATAAAAGAGTAAAAAGCAACACCAATAAGAACTCGTTAGAATGGGACAGATGTGACGTTGTGACCTTGACCTTTGACCACCAGAATATGATCAGTTCATCCATGAATCCAAATGGACATTTCTGCCAAATTTGAAGAAATTCCCTTAAGGTGTTCCTGAGATATCGTGTTCATGAGAATAGGGCCAGAGGGACAGACCACCTGAAAACACAATGCCTCCGCCACGGCTGCTACCATGCTAGCAGCTAGCCGAGGCATTGTGTTTTTGTATTTCAACACAATGGTTCTTTGAAGTAATTGATGACATCAGCCTGCTGAGTTGATCACAATGAAAATGCTACAACAATAATGTCATCATGACGGTCCTGTTAGTTTGGCATGTTAGCATGCTAACATTTACTAATTTATACTAAACACAAAGTGCAGCTGAGGCAGATGGGAGGGTCATTAGTTTTGCAGGTATTTGGTCATAAACAAAAGTTAAAATGTTGACCCTGATGATGACACTAGATGAAAAGTCAGGGGGTCACCAAAGAAGGGGGCACTGATTTCTGAACCTAGTATCATATCACTCCATCAAGTAGTTGTTCAGGTATTTCATTCAAAACCACAGATGTGAACCTTGTGGGTAGGCAATCAGCAAATCCATTCGAATTCATCCATTCTGTATTTAATAAGAGATTTCTGAACCTGCGTCATGGATCAATGGACAGACCAAAGCCACACCTCTAGTATGGTTAAATAAAAACTCCCTACTGAATAACAAAATGTGTGAAAGAACAAGTGAACAAGTTCATAGAAGAATTTGAAAACAGCAGTACATTGTTTATGGGCATTTTATTATTTATTTTAGGTGCATTGAAAGCACATCTGGTTGCTATAATTACTGTTCATACTGACCCTTAAACCAGTTTCATTTTACATATAAGCATGTATTACCTGAAAAGTGTGAACATATTGTTCTAGTTCTCATGGGGCTGAAAGAAAAACATCCAATGAAAGCTGCTGGATTCGGCTCCACGGATGAGATTTACTAAGTCAAAGTTGTGCTAGTCCGGGGTTTGTGTCATATCACAGTGAGGACACACTGTCCAGTAGTTATTATGACCTTTTCATTTTTAAGACCGTGATCATTCCGGTACCCTTCACCCACCTTGCTGCTCCTTCCTGTGCCTCACAGCTCCACTGTGCAGTAGGTGGAGTTTGTCATTTTAAAGTCAGTGTAAAGTGAGACTTGAGGGGAGGGAGGAACAGCGCAGAACAGCACTTCCTAAAACATTCCGACGCTTTTGGATCGACATTTGTTTTGTTGTTAGAAGCTCGGTGTGGCTGTGACTGGCTGCGTAGGACTAAACCCAGCACTACAGGGGCTCATGTCAGTCTCCTGCCAACTCCGCTGCTTTCATTTTCAACGCTGAGGAGCGGACACAGGTCAAGTTGTAACTTTCCTGGATGGAAACGGACAGTTTGCTGACCGACGGTGTGACCAGTGACCCAAGGAATTATGGCTCCTGGTCGTGCGCGGAGCGCGAAGGTTCCCCGGGCAGCCGCCGGATGTCGTACTCTGTGGCCGGGGGGTCGTGTCGTCTCGAGAGGGACACCGGTGAGTGGAGGGGCGCTGTGCAGCTGTCAGGTCGTTGGCGTGCGCAGCAGGATCCACGGTTCTATCAGGAGAGACGTGACTGGTCTCTCGATGTTCGTTAATCAGTAATTAAGGTGGTGGCAGAGGATTGGTCCTTACGTGAAAGTAATAATACTACAAGTCCTAGATTCAAAACTTTACTCAGCTAGAAGTACAGATGTAGTAGGCTATCAGCAAAAAGTAAACGGACATTGCTGGATAAACCCGCCAGGGACCTGCAGCAAAGTGAGCCATCACAGCTCCATCTTCTCTGCATTGTTTAGGAGTTTTACCTTGATTTGCACACAGTAGACAGACTGATCAGTGTACTTCACATGTCATCAACCAAACCTGCACCTCAATATGAGCTGATCATGAGGCCCTTATCACTGCCTGCAGTGCTTCATCCGCACAGTCATGACTTGTAGGCAAGGGGTCAGTTTTCCACAGGTTCTGGTTGGTAACCCAGCCTTTCCTGGCACTGTAAACGTTGTTACTGGTGCATTAATGCGTAATTCACTTTTTACACATGCAGCTGGTTTATAACAAGGCAGTATATTTTGTAAAACCATCAGGCTTTGTAAAAAATGGATAGCTATCAGAAAAATGTAGGAAGTATAACGTGGCAGAAATGATCAAACTACATTAACAACCTTTGAAGTGTTCTTAAGAGGACATAAATAATAAACAAACAAACATCATTTCACTTATTTTCAGAGTATGGCCACAGCTCAGAAATCCCTCGGTGACATATTTAATAAACATCACATTAACTAGATGTTCCTTTCCGCTTTGGGATGATCTGTCTTAAATCCTTCTTTCTAATACTTGGTAGGACCTCATTTGCCTCCGGATCAGCCTGAATTCTTGGTGTCATGGACTCAACCAGATGCTGAAAACGACTTAGAGATTCTGCTCTGTGTTGACATGACAGCATCAGTGTTGCTGCAGATTTATCGACTGCACGTTCATGCAGCAACCGCATCCTAAAGGTGCTCTGCTGGATTCAGATCTGGTGACTGTGGAGGCTGTTGGAGTAATCAAACTAATTGTCATGTTAGTGGAAGCAGCTTGGGATGTTGAGAACTTTGTGACATGCTGCATTATCCTGCTGGTAGGGACCTTTAGAAGGTGGTAGACCGTGGTCATACAGGGATGCACACGGTCAGCAGCGGTACTCAGATAGGATGTAACATTTAAACTATGCTCGGCTGGTGTAACAGCTTTAAATGTGTGCCAAGACAATATTCCCCACACCTTTACACTACCAGAAGCCTGAACAAAGCTGATCCAAGACTCTACATCTGCATGTTGCAACAGAAATTCAGATTGGAGAGACCAGGTGAGGGTTTTCCATCTTCTACCGCTCACTTGGTAGACCTCACCTCAGTAGACCTTACTGGGTCTTCTGCTGCACTAGTGCGTCCACTTCAAGGTTCAGGGTTTTGTATGCTCAGAGATGTTGATCTAGTCTTGTTATAGTATCCATCTTTTGCCTTTAGATCTGCTGCTCGTTGGAAAGTTTTATGTTTTTGGCACCATTCTCTGTAAACTCTAGAGACTGTGTGGTGAAAACCGGGAGATTGGCAGTTTTATGAGCCAACACCCCATCTGGTACACACCTCTGTGCTCCAGAGCACCAAACTGCCAAACGTTCTGCTTTTGTAGAGGTAGTCACACTTCTTAATAATTGACTGATCCTGTGCATTTGATTATTAACATCGGGCAGCACTCAGTGACCGCTGATAGACGGTGGCGGTGCACTCAGTTGCAGCAGCTCCTCCTGGTCATATTGCTCAGAGTGTGAATGATGTGTGTTGAGCATTACGATGAAGAGAGAACAGTGTCTCACCTACATATATACTGAAAGTGTATGATAGTGACCGTACACTACTGAGAAGTGATTGCAGAAGTAGGAAGGTTGTACTTTTATTTACCCCCCTGGGAAGCAGTAACTACATATTGAAATCTGCTGTTGTTACCTGAGATTTGTTTGGTTTTTTTAAATTTGTTTTCTTGTTGTTTACAGACATTGGTAAGGTCCACACAATTGTTCTTAGCCCCTGATGAATAAAAACAGAATTGAAGGAGGATGTACTTTCTTCCTGCCATGATTGTAGCTTAAAGTGAAACAAATGCTGTATTTTTACATGACCCTATGAACCATGTATTGCAAGACATTTATAGTATTTAGCCAAAAACATGCACAGAAACTGTATCACTGAAGTGTTGGGCAGAGAGATTTGGCACCCTTGCAATGCAGGGTTTTATTTTATGGGAAAGCACCTCTAGAGGTGTTGTTTTAACTGAGATGTTGACATCTTACACTTTTGATCAGTTTCAATGTAAAGTGTTCTTCAGGTGAAGTGGCTAAAGTGAAGTATGAGCGGTATTCCCCTGCATTATGATCTTTAAATGCTTGTTCAGCAGTTTAAAACAAACTCCAGTATGATTCTTCACACCATACTAGGTATTCAGATACATGATGTATGATTTTTTTTTTTTTTAGGATTGGGTCTATATGCTGGTAGTACATCTTATGGTCCATTATCAAAACAAAGGAAGCTGAATCTTTGACCTTTTCAACCAGAGGAAGATTCATAATCCCACTACTAGGTAGTGTGTGTTTTAGTCAGTTTTGTTCAAGAACCCACAAACTGAGACCTGTTTTACATCCAAACAATTTATCAGACTTGCTCTGACTTATTAGTTTGATTGTGGAAGGAACTGAGTTGTGGAAAATCCTCTTATTTCCTGTCAGAAGAAAAGGTCGGTTTCGTGTTTCTGTGTCCAGAGAAAGATCCATGAGGTGTTTAGCCTAGCTTAGCACAAAGACTGGAAGTAGGGGGAACCTGCTAGCATAGCTCTGTCAAGTGTGGGGGAAAACTCCCCCTCCAGCAACTATTGGCTAAGCTGTTTTTGCACATGGCAATGTGTGGGGTGTTTTTCAAGTCTCATATATGATTGTTCCTATATCCTCAGTCCTTGGTTAACCTTGATGTCATTCTGGGTGACTGAGGTTCCAAAGCTCTTATGACGGCTCTGAGGAGCGAGGAGGTTGTTGTAGGAGTCAAAACCCAGGATACACAAGACATTCCTTTGCAGAAGTTTGAGACCTGGCACACACACCTTAGAAATCAGTTGGTGATTAGATCCTTCAGATATTTTATATTCTGTCCTATTTAAAAACTGTTGACATGATGCTGTCTGAACATTGATAGGAGTGAAAGGAATATACTGTAATTGGAGGCCACTGACAAAATGCACATAACCGATTTCAGGAACAGGTTGTTACCAGCATAAAAATGATTTTCCACTTTACAGATAAATGCTCCCGCCCTATTTTCAGTTTCCATCCATGGCAGCTGAAGGTTTGGCAGAACAATTTACATTACATACAGCGTGTGAGTAAATGTATGAGTGACGATCCCAACCTGTTGTCCCATCTCTCCCTCCTTGTGCACTGACTGATATTATAAAACAGGCAGCAAAATTTCTTAATAAATGATGAAAACAGCCTGTGAAGGAACAGAACAGATCATAATTTATCAACTTGTCTGTTTTTAAACCCTTTTTTCACAATAAGAGCTAAATATTGTCAGAGTAAAGCCACTGTAAAGACTTTACAGTACAGATGGATGAATGACAGAAAGCATCACTTAGCAGATGAAACTTGCCATGTTATTTATTCTTTTTCCAATAACGGCTTAAATTTTAGCTTCAACTTTAGCTTCAACTTTAAAGTTAAAGTTTAAATACGTAAAGCAGATGTACTTTGTAAAATTATTTTAGGTCCCTAGCTGGCGCTACATAGCTTATCTTCTTAGCTGTTTATGTCATAGTCTTGTATTGTTGCTGGCCACATACATTTGTATTTCTATACAGGAATATATATAATCATGGTTTATGGAGAACTGTGAAACTGAAAATTTTGACAGTTTTTTTTAATGCTACTTCAGGAAGCGTGAGAAGTGTTGCTCACACTCTTGTGTGGTGTGTGTTGCATGAGTATTTCAGCAGTATTGTGGCTGTCAGTGGCACCCACCACCACCATGACACATCCCATTTTGATGTTATTAGTGCTAAGTGTGTGTGGGCGTTGCTAGAACTGAGTCATCATGTCTGTCTGTACATAACTGCTCAATGGAAAAGCTGCAGTCATCGACCATAATCACCTGACAGATGAGGAACAAACTGAGTCCGATAGATTTGGTTTGTTCTCCTCTTATCTTTTCTCTTTTATGCTGCTGTGTTCTGTTGTAACAGTTAAACCCAAACATGATGGATTACTTGATGTGATGAAAGGCGCTCATTGTTCTGTCCTGATAGGCTTTGTTTCAGGGTAATGAGAGTCCCAAATTAAATGACATTTCTTTAGAAAAGCTGCAACAACAATCATAACAAACCCTGTGAAATCTAGATGTAGTCTCTTCCGTAGTGTGTAAAGCCTGAGTGAAGCAACAATAAATATAGTCTAGTAAAACAAAAACAGGTATCAGCTTCAGTTAAACTAAATAAAACCAAGGTATCAGATTTTTTTTCAACTATCAAATATCAATTGAAATACTGACCTCAGAAATCCAGGGCGTGCTTTACTTGGCTCTGACTAACTTAGCTCTTTGCACTGAGAGGTTAAAAAAATACATTTAATGTTATTTAAAAACGTGACAGATGTTTGGATGTTTGACTGTGCAGACTTGAGACTAGCACGTCGGTGCATTTAGAATATATCTAACTAAAAAAAGCCAGTCACGAGGGCATCATCACACTAGCAGCAACTAAACTTCTTATGCCCGCTTTGAAATAAAGCAGGCACACAACAGAGCTGCTGCACTAATCTTCTCCACCATCTCCTGCACCCAGCAGGAAATTAAAAACACATGATGTGACATGTTTTCAAGTTATCAATGCATGGAAAGCCACTGGCCCAGGTGGAATACCTGGCTGGGTGCCCCAGGACTATGCCGATAAGCTGGCAGAGG